GTTCAGAATTGATAAAGTTATTCGGGGAGATTACAGAAGGAAACAAGCTTTTTTAAAGTGGAAGGGATACAGTGATGATTTCAATAGCTGAATACCAATGAAGGACTTACAAAATTTACCAAAACATATACATTGAACTTTGTCAACGTTTAAATGCACCAAAAAATACACAAAAAATATAGCACAATCTAGTATGCATAGTATTTGGGAAAACATGAAAAGAGAAAAAGAGGTGTACAGATAAAATATAATACTGATGAGGAAAGAAAAGACGCTATCCGAATATCGAAGACAAAATATATGCTCAACAAAGAGTGGTATCGTGATGTTTGTAAAAACGGTCATACTTATTTGTTGGCTAGCAAATGGAAGCATAGAAAAGACAAGATGCATCAACGCAACATAAGTGATTGAACACTTTTTTAACTTTGAATTATCCACAGACTTGTTGTTATAGCTTTGATGTGAGAAATTCCCACAAGGCGGTTCAAGGTCGAGCCGTGAAAATATAATTTTCCTTCTTATCTTGGTTTTGTTGTTTACTGATTAAAATGCAACGGTTGGGAATAATGCTGTGAATATGTAAGTTCTTTACAAACACACTCAGACAGAATTTTGTTTGCATCATTTATTTTTATGAAGAAATTTTTTAAGACCTCGATGGACATGTGTAACTTTACCCTCCTGAGGGCAAACTAGGAAAATAAAATAAAGCAATTGTGATAAGTTCTCCTTCTCTTTCAGCATTAATTTCTTGTTAAAAACGATAAGCATTGTGGTGTTTAACACTTAACACGTTGTTTTCAAATTAAACAAATGAGGCTCCTGCACTGATTGGACGTAACGCTCTCCACATTGGTGAATTATGTGATATTCGCTATTTGATTGGCTCTCAGCTTCTTCGACCACCTTGTGAAAGAAAATTTATGTGGCGCTTTTTTAGTGCAAGTTTCAGTATGATATAGCAAATAATAGTTATAATAGTTCGGTATAGTATAGTACAGTACAGAGCAATGTATATTATGGCATAGAATACGGTACAATGGAATGAAAAAATATGTAATATTATAACACAGCGTGCGCGCAAGTCCTACCTAATTCCTAAGGAGCTACCAGAGTAAAAATCATTATGTATCACTTCGGCTGAAAGCTTCCGTCGAGTTTAGTCGCGAGGTTTCAAAACTTTTAAAATTTCTCTCACGTTTCATCCCGATTGAGATAAACTTTTTGGAGCTCAAAATGAAAAGAGAATATACTAAATAATACTCGTTTCGACGATGGGGACTCTTCCTTAAATCGGTAAATGTTGTGTTGATATGTTCCAAAACTGTGTTTTACAATAGTATATTTTTTTTGAAATCGTACAATTTTCAGAATTTTTAAAATTAACCTACGCACGTTTTTCTGGTTGCAGATTCTAGTAAACAACAATTCAAGGAAAGGAAATATACCACGCGGGATTCGTTAATGCAAGAAATTTGAGAGATTTTTGCTTCATTTTTCGAACAATTGATATTAATTTCAAGTGTCAATATGTCCTGGAAAGTATTGTTCAATAATTTTAAAGTCGTACAATTTTAAAATTTCCAAAATTTTCAACACAAAGCAATCAATTCCTGGCTTTGAATTCTAATAAACAACGATTCAGCAGCTGATGGCAATATTTTCCTCCGATGACTCTTGAGCTAGTTATCAACGTGGATTAATTTCTCGTTAGCTTCTCTCTGGGAAAGACATCGCAACCCTAAAAAAGGTACTATCTTTAATCAAACAAAAATAATCACTGTAAATGGATATCCAAAAAATGAAAAAAAGAGGTAAGTTTCTAAAGAAACTTTTGTGCAGCATCGGTGGTGAAGTATAACAAGATAATATGGTTTAATCAACTGAGCTGATAACGTGAATTGGTCAATGTAAAGAGTTTCTAAAGTTAACGTTTCGGGGGTAGCCCTTCGTCAGAGCAAATAAAGGAATTGTAGGATGTGCGTGTTTTATCAGCAGAAAGTAGAGCTACGCCACGTGTCAAACAATTGGCTTGTTTGTAGGAATAAAACCAATAATAAGGAAATTCTAATATTGCCTTTTGAATTTGAAAAAAAAAAATTGCTTGATTAGTAGCTATTATCAAGAGTAGAACAATGAAAAAATTTTTATAAGATAATTATAATTCTTGCCTATAAAAGCTGCTGACTGCGAAGGCGAGCCTTCGCAATCGATAGTCTGCCGTTCCAAGAGGAAACTCCTGATAGAAGGCCAAAGGTGAGTTTGTTGTTCGGGAAACTCTTTTCGTCCTTTGTTACCATCATTTACATTATTTTACACTTAAAATTCTCACTCCAAAAGCCACTTGTAATACTATTAATGCAAAGAGGAAACTAATGAGAGTATCATAGCCAAGTGGTTGACCTCTAGCACTAAGCACTTTGGCTCTGACTTTCCTGTAGGTGAAGGGTATATCAGTACGTGCGACAGGCATTGCTGCAACGTTTTTTAGCACAGTTGTTTGGTTTCCAATACTTTTCCCAAATTTCAGTTTTCTTTTGGTTTTTATGTCCATTTTCACCCTTTGTTTCTTCCCTTACCACACCATGCTATAAGTTCTCTGGTAATACATGAGTGTGCTATCAGCTTTTGGCCTTGCATTTTGAATGCAGTCTTTGTCAATAATACCAAAACAGAGAAGAAACTTATGCTCGAACATGATGGCAAAAGGCAGAAGTCGTGTGCCTTTTGGTACTTGCCTTCTTTGGGCTTAACGTATTCATTCGATGTAATGCCCGGGGCGCATATTTACCTATGGTAACCCAATGGTAAGCGTTCATTAGGAGCAGGGCGCACATTTTACGTTTTCAAGATATAGCAGAGTGTGCGAAAAGAAGTGTTCATGTTTCATTGAAAAGGCTAAAATATAATGAAAAACGTAATTGTTATTCTTCCTGGTTAAAACAAACAGCCAAGCAATTGCCGCAAAATTTGAAGACGGGTCATTCGTTCGAAGGAACTGCGCGCTGACGTGGGCATAATAGTTGAGAGACTGACACGTTGACCGTTGTTTTTAATTTGTAATGAGGCTCTAAGTGAACACTTAAGTGAAGATGAACCAGGGTTGATCTCAATGTACATGTGCTCCAATGGTGATATTACTGAAATAGAAAAGAGGCTCATATTGGAATATAGGTGCTTATTAACAAAAACAAATTCTAGGGGAACACTTATAGGAGAGAGAGTGAATGTTTTTACCGAGATGGGGGCGCTAAGTCAAGTCAATACGCTAAAATACTTGCAAAATTTCTATTCAAAGAAAGGAGAACATGATTGGAGATAATTTCAAAGGAGGACTTCTTCTAAGAATTTCTTTTTCAAATTATTTAGTTTTTTTTTTTCAATCGTTTAAAAGTTAGTAAGCATGGATGTTTGCGAGAGTAAAAAGCTCTTGCTTGACAGCTTACGTAAAACAAGAGAGAACAAAAAGACAAAAGAACCGGAAAACAATAAAATAGGTTAAGGAGGCGGTGTTCTATTGTAACGTGCCCTTTGTCTCCAACACCAAGAAGGTGCCGTGTGTCCAGAGGAGGAGAAAATTATCGTGTACAAGGAAAGTAAAAGGTCGCCATTTTAAAGGAACCCTTTTTGACTTGAGCCAATTTAATGTTGTACATGCAGAAACTAATTCCTTTACGAACACTCTGCTCTTAAAACATAATCTCAGGCAGTTTCATACACGTCATTCATTTTAAGTTTTGCGGGCCCTTAAGCTTTTAGTGTCCTCTTGTAGGTCTCTTTGCTAAAGTCACACTTCTTTGCTTTTTTTTTGCAGAGTTTGAGTGGTTTTAATATGAAGTTCCTGTGGCTTGTCATCGTCGTGGCATTCAGCGTATCTTTAGGTAAAAAACAAAATCAGAACGTTAGCACATGCACAAAGTTATTAGACTTAATTATTTTGAATCGTTTAAATTGATAACATTGTGCCTGTATGGGTCTCTTGTCTAACATGTTTCTTCGTCTAAATCCTCTCCACAGAGAAATCTTCCGTAGAAGGTCTGTATGCGTAATTTTTTTTTTTTGTTCTAAGCGAATGGTGATGACGAGTTTATCTCTAACTTATTAAAAAGAATATATTTCGTCTGTTAAAAGTCTCATCCATTTTTCCTTCAAAGTTAAATTGAGCAAAAAGTGAATCAGTTCTGGTACGTATTGCCCGTAGACATTTTGCATGCATAAATCATTCAGATGAACAAAAGTTAGCAGAATGGATTAACCTTCATTATTTCGACTTCGTCGTCTTTCACTACCATTCATTAGAGACCTTAAGGAGTCAGAATGGCAACACCATGGAAGATGTAGATGACAAATTCATTTATGATTTAGTTAGAATTTGGCGAATGGCTGTATGAGTTTACCGTCTCTTACGTTAAACTCAACTTCAGCGCAATGTAAGTGAGCGGGGTAAAATTTCCGCACAGCCCCACAATACATTGTGCATTCAGTTCTTGGATAGAGAAAACAATGACAAAAACAATACATTGCCATTGGGAAAACAGACTTGTTTTACAATAGTATGGAGCTGTGCGGAAATTTTACCGTGGGCGGCGTTGAGTTCCAAATGGAAGTTTAAACAATTTCCGTCAGGGTTACCTTTTTCAGTCCACGCACATTTGGTAATTTCGCGCTGTTGTTTTGCAGAGGACGGTTTAGAAATGCATAAAGTTTTAAAACGCACTTTCTGAGCCATTATTCTGCAATAAGCATCTTTTTTTTTGCCTCATTTTCGTTGCCGTCGCCTTTGTGGTTTGCATAGACATTGAAGAATCGAACGCAATTAAGTTCGAATAATTTATTGTAATGATAATGATGATCATTTTACTTTACCAAGATGACTTCGTCAGTATTTGAGTACTGTTAACGATAGGGATCCTTAAAAAGATTGAATAAAAATGCTTTTGGGATTATACAGCAGTTTAACATTTATTGGGAAAATACCGCTGAAAAATCGAGTTGAAATCTAGGAAAAAAAAAATATAAAATTTTTTCCAATGACTGCGTAATTCTGATTCTTTAAAATAAAAATATTTCTCATTCTAAAGAGCAATAAATTCTCTCCATCTCTCTACTGATGGATTGAATAAGCTTATCGTTTAAAGATAGCTTTCTAAAAAGAATTTAAAATAAAGGTATTTCTTGTTAAGACATAAACTTAATATTCTATGATCGTTTATAGGTGGATGTCTTGATCAGAAAATGGATATCGCCATTCTCGGTGACGTGTCCAAGAGCATGAACAAGGACCACCGAAATAAGTTAAGACAACTGGTTTATTCATTGGTGAACAAACTAGGGGTTTCTGCTGCAGGAAATCACTATGCTCTTGGCACTTTTGGATCATATGTTCCAATTCACTTCTACTTGAATTCAGGAAGATACCACAACCCAAAAAACTTAAAGGACATGGTTAAAGCCCGTTTTAATTTTGTTCCAAAGTTAGTGGGAACACGCACTGATCTCGCCATGAAAAACGCGTTAAATATATTTACCAAAGAAAAAGGAGACAGACCTGACGCTAAGAATATCTTGTTCGTCTTTACTGATGGAGCACCGTTCATTGGCGAATGGGATAAGAGAAAACGGACTCCTTTTGGACCGTCAACAAATGCTCTGGAGGTAATATAGCTAGACTGTTGTTACTTACATGCAGCAAGTGTGTTTAAAATTACCTTTTTAATTGTATCAGTCTGTAGTTTTACAGAATTCAATACCTTTCCCCACACCCAAGAACAGCAAAGTAAAATATCATGGAGGCGACTGTGAAAACAAAACTAATTCATGCACTGGTGAGCGAAGAGAAATGCCGAAGAAAAACCCCTACATTATTCTGATTGATGTTTTGAACTTTCACCTGACCAGGCCAGAGGTGTGAGCATAGTTGTTATTGGAGTTGGTAAGGACTTATACAAAAGAAAAGAACAAATGAAATGGATAGCTGGCAAAAAGGGAAAAGTTCTTCTGTATGGCAGCTTCGACGCACTCATCAAAAGTCTGAACCAGATCCTGCAAGCTACATGCCGTAAGTTTATCAGTGGTTTCCTTTAAATGGGTCTCTATGCTGATTTCTTTCTTGACCCTTACGTCGAAAACGATCATTCTCATTTAGTAAAGATTGATGTTTCTTTCTTGATGACCATAAGCTTGCAACTAGATATGATTTCGATGGTCAAGACGAAGTTTAGGTGCACTTATAGTAATATTCCTTGTAGGTAAAAAGAGAAAAAGAATACTTTAAAACAGCTAAAGCTTTTCTAAGCTTTCGCTAATTCTGGACCACAGAAAAACAAATTTAAATTTTGGATTATTGTTCTCTATCAAAGCTGTTGATGGGGGATACACAGATTGGTCTGAGTCGAAGTGCAGTGTGACGTGTGGAGGAGGAGTGAAGACACTTACAAGAAGCTGCACCAACCCCCCGGCATCTAACGGTGGGAAGGACTGCAGTCAGCTTGGACCAGCTAAAAAGACTGTTCCATGTAACGAACAAAAATGCTGTAAGTTTTTTTTGGTAGCAATTTTCTGTTCTTCCCTTTTTATAAGATTTAGTCCCATCATGCTGGCGGAAGCTAGTATTCATGTGTTACAGAGTTCTGAAAAGTGACCATTCTCGTTTAGTAAAGGTTGATCTTTCTTTTCCCACTATACAGCTGTTGACGGGGGGTACACAGATTGGTCTGAGTCAAAGTGCAGTGTGACGTGTGGAGGAGGAGTGAGGACAATTACAAGAACCTGCACAAATCCCCCGCCATCTAACGGTGGAAAGGACTGCAGTGAACTTGGACCAGCTGAAAAGACAGTCCCATGTAACGAACAGAAATGTCGTAAGTATTCATTTCACAACTTTCTGCCTTAACTTATCTTTTTAATGGAATTGATCATCACAAGCTTGCAACTAGATATGTTTTAGATGGTTGAGACGAAGTTTAGGTGCACTTATAGAAATATTTCTTGTAGGCGCAGAAAAAAACAATTAAGGCAGCTGAAGCTTTGCTAACCTTTCGTTTACATTAAACTAAGGCCAGCTAAAAAGACAGTTCTACGTAACGAACAAAAATGCCGTAAGTTTTTTTTTGCAGCAATTTTCGATTGATCCTGTTTTTGAGGGGTTAAAGCATCACAAGGCGTGAAACTTTGATTCAAGTGTTTACGACAAGCTAATGCGGAACCTATAGAAATATCCATTGTAGATCTAGATTAAAAAGTTTAGAGTGTTGAAGCTTTGCTGAGCTTCTACGTATAACAAATAGGGCATGCACCACAAGAAACAAATTCAATTTAGTATCATGTTTCTCTTTAAAAGCTATTAATGGAGGATACACTGATTGGTCTGAGTCAAAGTGTAGTAAGACGTGTGGAGGAGGAGTAAAGACGTATACAAGAACCTGCACCAATCCCCCTCCATCTAACCTTGGAAAAGACTGCAGTGAACTGGGACCAGCGAAAACGACAGTTCCGTGCAACACACAAGAATGCCGTGAGTAATTTTACAACAGTTTTCTGTTTCCCCTTCTCTTTTTATCAAAGTGACTGACTACGAGATCTACGTATCAGTATATGCCAACACGGTCAAGACACATCCCTTCTGCAAAACGAAAAAAAATTGTATTCATCAGTTTATTCGTCAATACAATTCTTAGACTTCTGCTAATCTAAGACGTATTGGCCCTAAAGAGTGAACACTACATTCCAAACAGGTGCGTGTTAGAAAAAGCTCTCAAAATTTTGAACCCTTAGTCTGATCCATGATGTGCTTATCGATGGTCAGTTCTTCGCAAAGGTACAATAGTAGATATTGATATTGGGCAAATTCACGCCAACCACCTCTCCCTCGCAGCAAAATTTTCACATTAATAATCTCCTGATCAGACACGAGCTCTACCACGTAGCTTCGGCCTAAGTCCCTCAGCAATGCAAAAACAATACGATTACTGCTTGATGCTTAAAGCCGAGCTGCAAGATTAGACCATTTCTTGATAAGTTTCTTCTATAACCCGGAAAAGGCACAAGACATCCAAGAAAATTCATCAATTACCTATACTTTTCAGACGACACGGCACTACCTTTAAGTATTGTTTAAGATGCTTATTCACCTCTTTACGTTCTTCAAGAGCACACGCCGGAATATGAGATTACAAAAAGTTTTTATTTACCAGCAATGACCCAAACATGTGTACCAAAGCCAGGAAACCTGAAATCGAATGGAAAACCTTTTGTATACTCAGTCCACCTGGTTATTTGCAAGCGGCTTAGACTTGGGAATGCAAAGGAAAAAATTTGTTTTGGGACACTGTCGAGAATTGAAACAAAGAGTCCTTAGACTTAAAATTATCTGATTAAGCCGCTCAAACATCACTTTTTACCTTAGGTCACACTGCAATGTGCTGTGAAATTAAGTTACAAAAGAATAAAAAATTAAAGATATCTTAGAAATATCACTGGCTGTACAACGAAAGGCTTGTAATAATGTTTTGATGTTGCTTTACGACTCAGATATCACTTATGGAATTTGACGTCTTTCCTCAAGTTATTTTACTTTTAATCTCCACAGTACCTCCATGCACAGCTGGACTTGATATTGCAATCGTTCTCGACAAATCCCAGAGCGTTAAATTAGGTAATCTGAAAACGGTCATCACCTTTTTGGGCAATCTGGTTAAAAACTTCGACCCTTCACCTGAGGCAGATCACTTTGGCCTTATTACCTTTAACAAAAAAGCACAAATGTCTTTCAAACTCGGTGATTCACGATATCATGATAAAGACGCCTTGCTACAGAAAATAGCCAACGAACCAATGGTCTTAAAGTATCAAACTCGCACCGATCTGGCTCTTATTATGGCGAGGGACGAGATGTTTACTGAGGAAGGAGGAGACAGACCAGACAAACCAAATGTCATGATTGTACTTACAGATGGAAAACCAACTCATCCGAAAAATGACTTTGATTTTAAAGCATTTGCCAACATAATATCCGAGGATTTCACGGTGAGTGTAAAATCACGTTATCGGGTTATTAATTAAGCGTTATTATACCTTTAATGTGGTTTGTTGTATATTGAGAAATATCATGCGCCAATTTCTAGTTGAGGTGTAACGTTCATTTTCAATATTCTTTCGTGTTAAGGTACTAGATGCAATGCGCTAGTTTCTTTCGTTGAATACTTCCCATTTCACCTGCGATTTATTAATCAGTAGATCAGCTGCGGAATCGATTATTATCTATACAGCAATTTCTGAAGGATTCCAATCAAAAGCAGGGAATACGCATTGCCCTGCATTCCGGTTAAAGTCGGGTTTAAACTTTGGCAGGGGCATCTGTGTTGAAAGAAAAAGAAAACTCAAATCTTACACTGCACGACTTCCTGCGGACAGAAAATTAAAACTATCCCATTGGAAACTATCAGGAAAACCCGACGAAAATCTATAGGGCTTAGGCACAATCTCAACCTAACCTGTAATGGTTAATAGCTGTCTCATGCAATTGAAGCCGAATTACAAAGATATTTTATGGCAACAGATAATGAAAAACAGTTGATGCCGTACATTTTTTCATTTTACAGAAAAAGGAAATCAACATTGTAGCAGTGGGTATCGGTCCAGGAGTGGAGGAAGCCACTCTACACGATATCGCTGGCACAGGACCTGTGATTCAGGTGGAAAACTTCGATAAGCTTGATGAAACGATCCAAAAAATCAAGGGATCTGCTTGTTCGGGTACATTTTCGAGGCGGATACTAAGGAACCGGCCATTATTGAATTGACGGTGTGGGGAATAACGACTTTAAAAACACAATTGCTTAAAAACAAAACAAATTAAGGAGAGAAAAACTGTCTACAGAGAGAAAAAAAGGGTGAAAATTCTAAGACTTCTTCCCCTCTCCACCACCAAGCAAAAAAAATTATGGTCGGTTGCTTACGTAACGTTCAAATGTTTGCACACACCAAAACAAAGTAATTTAATTGAGTTTCTGTCTGTTAAGTTCTCTCTCATTCCAACGTAGCAACCTTCTTTGATTCTTTTCTAGGATAGCGAGGTTGGTATTTCGAGACGGACATGCGTACATGAACCGTACAAGCCAACAGAATTCTTATGGATGCAAATGATACTGAAAATAAACTTTGTCAAAAAGGAAACTTTTGTCCTGTTCATTTGTAATAAAATGACCATGAAATACGAAGCTCACACAAAGCTTAAAAGGGACCTAATTAAAATTAAATTTATAGAAGCAGCCAGAAATCAAATAAAATGAAATAAGCAATACATTTAACGTCTCAGGTTAGAAAAGGACAACAATTTTTTCAATTTCTTTATCCGAACTTCAAGATGTCAAATTTTTGAAGATAAAAGTTTCAAAACACAAGCGCAAAATATACAAAATACAATTTTTTTCTAATATTTCCGACGATTTTCTAAAATAGGTTGAGTAGAACCTTGCTAAACCGAACTGACCCCCTATCACCTGACTCGAAGTCGGTTAGCTCGAGCTCCCCTTAACTCGAATTAATTCTACTTTCCTCGGCTCAAATTTACCCTTAACAACTTTATGTGTCAGAACATAGCTTATTGACATGTCCTAGTCTTTTATCACCTTTGTTGAAAACAGTAGTAACTGAAAGAATAAAAAAATATATTTTTCAAAAAGTATTGATGCAAAGGGCATAAATGAAGTAGAAAACTAAATAAGTTCTTCAAACAAGTACTATATTACAACCAATTTTTTTTCAATAAGAAATTTGAAAATTGTATACCGCGTAAAACCAACGTAAAACCACGTTTCAGTGCTGTTGTGTATCTTACGTGTACAGCTCTACGTACACGAGCCTCTTTACCCACCCTCCGACCCCACATACAAAAATAGTAATTTAAGCATGCGCGTCCGGCTGCACCGCGGCTCATCCACAGTGCCACGTCAATGTTGCTCCTGTTTGTACTTAATGAAGAAAAGTGGATTAAAATACAGAAGAAAAATTCATTACAATTGACTTCTAGAAGCCGGGGTTTAACAGAGACAAAAAATAATCAAATAACTTGCAAAAAGATCGGAACATAGCGAAGCAACATTTATGCAACCATCGGCATCATCACTGAATAGAAATCGAGAAATATGACAAAGGGTAACGGGAAATAGATCATCAAAAAGAATGACTTGAAAGACTATAGCCGTATAGTAATATGGGATAAGAAGGTCGTAGAAAACCTGTAAAAAAAGTAGGTTAAAATCATCGTTACATGTTTTTCATGAATTGCGATGAAAACAAGTAATCAGGAGGAAGAATATGATCAACAAGTTGATATTAAAAAAAAGAAGGAAAGAAAGACTGTTCATCAAAGTGATGTTATGTAGTAGTTATAGGTCCACTGTAAATTGTTGGAGCCGTGACCTCCACTGTTATATTAGGAAGCACTTCAATCATTAACCATCACTGTCGCTCAGCCCAGATGAGAACACAACCCTCTCATTCCTTTATGATAAAAAGGATTATTAATGTAAACGTGCGTTCTGTGCATCATGAGAAATATTGTATAAAAGCAATAGGAAATTTTTTTCCGTTTTTACTCTGTGTTTTCTTAACTCTTGCAGGGTTGAAAGTTTTGTAAGCCTTTTACCGCTTCTCGGGTTTGTATATTTTCCTCGAGTTTAGATGATTTTGAAGATTTAGATGTGTTTAGAAAAGGCTGGATTTGTCCACGAGTGAACCTGATATCAACAATACCTATTGAGACATGGATCATTCGTAATGATAGAAAAATATAATCAATACATTGGAATTCGTCCTCGCATTTTGAAAATTTGCTGGATTAGCTGGCATTTGATAGTTGTATTGCCATGATGAAATAAGATGCAAATATATAATCATTCTTTGTTTGCGATCTAAACAATACAGGAATGTTCTTATCATTCCTTGCTTACAGTGGCTCAATTATGGCCTAAAATTCTCACATCATATTTCCGTTCAACTGGGTCATCGTAGCAACGTTATATCTTTTGAAAGCACAGAATTAAGACTCAGCTCTATTAAATTGCAACTCCGTTAGAGAAATTTCGGTGGCCTTAGTTTTTATTAACATAAGCTATCTAGGGGAGAGATAAAACTCTACAGCATCCTTTGCAGAATCCTATTAGAGAGAACGGCAACAAACATTAATTATCTAAAGCTCCAACGTTAAGCCTGGCTAATTTTATAGATTACTGACATAAAGACGTCTTTTTAAAACCAAATGATAAAAAGAACTAAAAATTAACAATAGCTAATCTGACCAAGGCTCGTTTGTATGAATAGGAGAAATAACAAAGAAAAATTTTAAATTTATTTTTGCATTTTGAAAAAAGGTTTTTGATTAACAGCTATAATATTGCCATGATATCAAGAGAATCACTTTTCATTTGCGATCTAATAAGAGTAAGGTATTATGTCAACATTTCTTGCTTAAAGTGACCCAGCTTGGTTTGTTTTTGGGAACTTTTTTTTACAATAAAACATTTGTCAAGTACTTGTGAAAAAATCTTCGTGGCAGGTGTGACGCGGCGTTCCGTCTCGGCGAAGAGACTCGTCAGATACTTTTCGGAACAGTCAAGCAAACTCGTTGAGCAACGCGCTCAAAGTTCCATTCCTAATTAAAGATCTTAACAGTCTGACTCTCTATCACAGAAGGATTTCCTACTGCACGCTCACGGGTTACAATTAAAAAAATTGTCAAATACGTGACAAAAAATACTTCGTGGCTGGTATGACGCGTTGTTTCGTCTCGGTCAATTGGTTTGTTTTAAATTACAATTTTTACAATACATTCTTCTGTAAATGTCAATGAAAATCCGTTCTACATTTCCCGATCACCAAGGTGGCTTTATACCAAGAAGATTCATATTTTCAAACTTTGTAGAAAGAGTAATATCAATAAGCTGATTGAAATTGTATGTATGACAAAGCCGATACAATTAAAACTTGGTTTTGAGCCGAAGGAACGCCTAGCTAAATTTAGGAAACGTAATCCGTTTTTGAAAAGACTTGCATTATCTACTTATGAGAAGGAACTTTTAGGATACCATCGCTGAACTGGAGCAATAACACTGAAAACTAGAGGCGATAAGTACGAGATGTCTAATGAGCAGCTAATCATAAAAAAAGGTTATTTCATTGCGATAGATGTAAATTTCATGAGGTCTGCGGTCATAGTTTGCGTAACTCGGGGCTGGGGATGAGAAGTATCCTTTGTATCATATTATATATACTTCTGAATGCATGGTGCTGGTTTTCTTTAAGAAAAGAAGTCTAATGGTATGTACTCGAAACTTCAGCGAGCCACATCAGACGAGACGAGACGAGAAAGGCCATAATATGTCATTACCAGCGTATTCACCAAGGTAAATAGCACAATTTAGGGTTATTTTTGATTATTTGCTTAAAAGCCTTCCAATTATCTATAAGAGTTGCTATAAAAGAGCTTAGCCGTGCAGAGATAACCATTAGGAGATCGATCACTTGGCTCTCGTTAAGAAGAAACCAGAAACGCAAATTAACGTTCCATAGACAGGAGGTAAGCTCATCTTAAACGCGCCACTCTATTGATCGTTCTTATCGTAAACCCTACTTGAAAATGTCTTTCTTTAAAACAACTGAGACTTCTTTTCGGAAAAAACGCTTTGCTCGATATTATTCTGATATGCTTGTCTTTATGGTTTTCAGTAGACTTGTTAAGGGTGTGCCTTTTGACATGGTATGAAAAATCCGAAGGTGCCTTGTGAAAATGTCTCTCTTCGGGAGTTCCTTGAGCCTTTTCGAAAGAATCTAGCAGAAAAGAAATGTTTACTAACTGAAATCGTCTTTCAATGGACTGGTTAGGCCAGACAGTTTGATTGATGGTAAAGCCCTTCGATGAAAAATGACTTTACACAAGCAACGAACAGTAAAAAAAATATGGGCATTAGAGTATCATTAGCAATATAGCAGTCATTTTCTGATATCAGCTGAGGATAAGGTGCTGTTCCTCAAACAAGTTAAGGATTATGACAATTTATCCTCCCAAGAGTCAATATCAGAGATATAAAAAGGAGAAAATGCCTCCTGCGAAATTATTCTTTTTCTCAAATCTGTTTTCATATACTATATTAAGGCTTATGTTCCTCTTGGATTCCAGTAGAGTGGAAAAGATCTAAAACTATTCAGCTCCCCAATTTGAAAACGCTAAGAGGGTAACCAGTTCTCGAGCCTTTCGACAGGAACATAAAAAATCTTAATTGTGGGTGTACCTTTCTATCCCCAAGTCAACTAAATTTCTTTGTTGTATCGAATTTGCTGTGAGCTCCCAAACCCAACGAAAACGAAACATATCTGTAGTATGTCACATTTCTTATTACAGCCTGGGGTTTACCCACCTTCATGAGTGAGTGGGTTTATTTTTAAATCAACAACTATTCCCAAACAGTACATATCCAATCTACTCGCAGATATATGTCGTCATACTCTTTTTTTTATTGTTTCCAGATTTCAGGTGAATAAAACATGAGAACTCTGTGGGTTTTCATCATTGTCGCATTCAGCCTCTCTTTGGGTAAGAAAATCTACAAATTATGATGAGAATAAAAACAAAAAATCCAATAGTTCATAATATTCTGGTGTTAAAGATGACTAACGCGTCTCCAATTGTGTTCCTCTTTACAGAAATATCTCTGGCCAAAGGTTTGTACATCTTTTTCATATCCTAAATTTACTTGCTGTCTTTGCGAGACCCAGTCTTCAAGAATCAAGGTGGCGCCGCTCTCATGACTTAAACAACAGATAAACTAGTTATATAATAACGCTTTCAATCAGGAGTGCGATGTGATCCAAACAGAATGTAAATTACAAGACGTTCTATCTAGTTTTCTATCCTATCTGCGCGGAGCTGCGTTAGAATGCGCCATTGTACCGATATTGTAGTATAGACCACGTGAATATGAAAGCAATCTTCGCAGTGATGAACGCTACTTCAGCAGTAGTGAAAATAAGGCCGGAAAAATTTTGGGTCTGCACGGGATTTGAACCCGTGACCTCTGCTATACCGTTCCAGTGCTCTACCAACTAAGCGTACAGGCCAACTGGAAGCTGGTCATTACGTTGGTTCCAAATAAACCCGTGAAGCGGTGAATAAACGA